ATCTATCTATCTATCTATCTATCTATCTATCTATCTATCTATCTATCTATCTATCTATCTATCTATCTATCTATCTATCTCTTTTAAATTCTATATTTATATCTATCTCTCTGAAGACAGTAACTTGCTACGGCTCCAGACAAATACACAAAATACTCTGATTAGAATGCTATAAATTAGGCATCAATCCTCCACCTATGACCGCCAGCTGCTGCTGGTGTCACAAGGCTCAAAATGTTGGACCCAGAATTCAGATGAGACAGGTAGCAATAATTTTATTATTGATATAATATATCAATATTAATATTGATATAATATATAGAAAATGGCATGCACTGGAGGCGGGCTCACTGGAAACGCAGCAGGGCGCGAGACTCAGGTCAGTGACTTAAGAAACTTAAACGGGGAATGACAATGAGCGTGAAAGTCACCAACCTGGCACAGTTCAGCCTGAGCTCAGAAAAAGGAGTAAAGTCCAGTGGAGTGGAAATCTGAAACTCAGTCTGCACAAGAGATCCAGAAGAAAAGAGGAGCAGCGACCAGCAGCAGCCAGAGCAGGCAAAGGAACCGAGAAATCCAGACGGATAATCCAAGTTGTGGTCAGAAGACAGGTCCAAAACTCAGAAGTCCGAGGCCAGACACAGGTCAGGATCACGCAGAAAAAACACATAAAGAAACGCTAGAATTGGTCTCACTGGAAGCTCAAATAATCTGGGACCAATGGCATTGAATTGAATAAATAGCAGTGGGAACAGGTGGAACTAATAAGAAATAATGAGCACAGGGTGAAGCAAAGCAGATAAGAGGAAAAGGAATAAAACACAGCCTCTGGTGCCAAAAGCAGGAGAGCTGGAGCTTCGGTCAAAAAATGACATTTTCTGGTCTCTTAAATACAGCAACTCTTAAAAAGCTGCAGAGTGCTTTGGATGAATGTAAACAACAAAATGAGCATGCTGCACTGTGCGAGAGAAAGGCTGCAGAGGCAGGCTAACGGTGAAGCTAGCAGAAATCACCTTAGGACACCATTACCATCAATCCTGCTCTCCAACGTCCGCTCAATGGATAACAAAATGGATAACCTACGACTCAAACTCTCTTCAAAAAAGGAGTGGCCATCATCCTGACTGGGTGATGGCGTAATTCATTGATTCCAGACAATGCTATTAGCCTGGTGAGGCTCACCCTACACCGCACTGATCGAAACAGAGACTAAAGGAAGGGGGCTGTTTGTGCATGTAAACAGCAGCTGGTGTAAAAATGCTAGATCAGTCTCCAGCTTCTGCTCTTCAGACATGGAGTTTCTGACTGTTAGCTGCAGGCCGTTCTATCTGCCCAGAGAGCTCAGTGTGGTTAGCATCACTGCTGTTTATGGAGAAACTCCAGGACTATTTTGAATGCTCTGACTGGAACATCTTCAAGGCTGCAGCAACATATGACAACAAAATAAACATAGATGAGTATGCCATGACTGTGTCAGCCTACATCAACAAATGTATTGAAGACGTCAGCATCAAAAAGAACATCAGCACCTGGGCCAACAATGGGGAGGTTCAGAAATCACTAAAAGCACCAAACTCAGCTTTCAAGTCTGGTGATAAAGAGGCTCTGAGAACAGGAGGATGTGGAAAGGCATTCAGATGATCACAGACTCAATGATTAGCGGCCTGTCGCTCTGACTCCCATCATGATGAAGTGCTTCCAAAGGCTGGTTAAAGAACACATCGTCTCCAGTCTGCCGCCATCATTCCACCCGTTCCAGTTCGCCTACCGACGGAACTGAGGACGCCATCTCTGCTGCTCTCCACCTGAGCCTGGCACACCTGGAGGAGAAGAACACCCACGATGGATGCTGTTCCTGGACTTCAGTTCATCTTATACACTCTGCATATAGAAAATGACAATAAAAGTTGTCTAAGTCACTATATCATTTATCTATCTATCTATCTATCTATCTATCTATCTATCTATCTATCTATCTATCTATCTATCTATCTATCTATAGATATATATGACACTCTAACTTAGTTATTCATACCAATATTGTTTGAGTTGTTACTTTGCTTTGATCCTGTTTAATCTCTCCATTGTCAGGGCCACAACTGTTGTCCTTACCAGTTCTCCTATAAAGCTCCTAACACCCTGGAGTTTGTGAAGAAGCTGGATATCCCAAAGCAGACGTCAAAAGGAAGTCTGTCAGCCATGCAACACTTTCGCAACCTGGACAAGAAAGCTACTGAAGAAGACGACAATGAGTTACAAACTCTTCACCAGAACAGCATCATGTAGGAAACATTGTCTCTGTTTTATTATCAGTATAGGATTTTGTTTATAACCCAGATATATGAACAAGTTTCCTTAGATTGCTTTTTAGATTAGTTGAGCTTTATTGATCTCACAGTGGAGAAATTCACTGGTCACGTACTGGCAT